GACTCAACTGTTAATGTTTGTTTCTTCATATTTTCAGAGTCTCCCTGTCATATTCCATTCTTGGATTTTGTACTGACTACTGCACCATTGTCTAGTCACCCAGAATCAATCTGAATATTATGTTTGATGTTCCAAAACAGTTATACATAAATACTCTGTCTACCAAGCTCTAACAAGTTCATGCTGACTAGTCTATTATGTTGAATTTCATAAAATTACTTGACTAGTGAAAAATCAGTATTAGTTTCAGCACAAAATCAAATATGTGAAAAACTTTTTATAAATATAAAACAAAAACTTTGGAACTCTTGTTTTTTAGTTAAAAGATTTCATAATAAAAAATTTATAAAATATCTGTTAAGATTATCTCATTAAAACTTATCAAAATATTCCTTTATCTAGTGGTGATTATATAAACGTTTAATATCCCAACAAAAGTATAAAATGAGAAAGTTATAATTTTCCTATACTGAAAATGTATTTCCTATAGGTACTTACCTCTGCTATTCTCATTCAGTGCTGTCCTCTATATGCAAAAAACATTTTTAAGCATGCCACAAGCCTTTTACTTCTCCTCCATTGGAAATGACTGATTCCAATGCATCTCTCATACAAATCATCATGCGACAATCCTCCAATAACGCACACTCTTTATGCATGCGACTCCCTCTATTCAATTCTACTTAACTATCACTTCAAGTTTTGGCAGAAAATGGAAGCACCAGTGGTGAGTGGGGAGGAAGGGTGGGAAGTGTGAGTAGAGGTAAGTACCTATTGGAAATACATTTTCAGTATAGGAAAATTATAACTTCCAATATGGTACATTACCTCCCCTCACATAAATAGCTAGAATCCACATTGAATAGGTGGAGGAACCGGTGCGAGGGAATGACAGAAGCATCCTTTGAAAGCATACAAAGGACAGTCCTTGAGATGAGAGAGTCAGATTCGAAGATATGATGTGGGATTCTGTAAAAGTGGGTAAAAACAATGTACGTGCCTCTAGGTGTAGAGAGGCTAGGGTGTAACGGACCATAGATTGCATGTTAACTACATCCAAAATCCATGCCACCAGGAACCGACATCCATGCGAGGTAGGATGAGGATCATACTGTCAGTAAGTCAACTACAATCCAAAACCCAGCCCAGCTGATTCCACAGGTGGGGCATAGAAAGACATGGCAAGATCCAGTGGTAGAAAAATACTATCAAATCGTCATAGGCCCAAACAGGTTTGGCTTGTTCAGGAGAAGGTGGTTGACCCATATAACATTCAATCTTTTGGCAGATAATCACTGATAAATCCAATGACGGGTCACCCCACCGGCATAATGTGAAAAAGTGCTTGTAGGAGGTGTGATACCCAAAGTGGTAACATTAATCTCAGAATTAATTTCAAATTATGAATCAAACAAAAATGCTTGATCAGCAATATAACCTTAAATTATTAATAAAGAAATCCACTTCGGATTTAGAACTATTAAATTTACAAATGCAAAGCACACGAAAAGGACAAAACAAAAAATATCTGAACATGAATACTGCCAAACAAGAAGTGATAGTTGGTTAGAATTGAATAGAGGGAGTCACATGAGTAGCGAGTGTGTCACACTTTTATTGGTGGAGGATTGTCGCATGAGACAATCAGTCATTTACAATGGATGGGAAGTAAAAGGCTTGTGGCAAGCTTAAAAATGCTTTTTGCATATAGAGGGCAGCACTGAACGAGAATAGCTATTTATGTTAATGGAAGTAATTAGCATATTGGATATAGAGATTTATAGTGAATTAGTTAAGATATATGAAGATTTGTTAATTACAACAAATATTATTAGGGCGTTACAGAGGTTGGGTATGTTATATTGAAACTGTTTTAAAGCCTCACCATGATGTATCTGATAGCTGTGCATCTTAAAAATAACTCTGCAGTATAATTTCCAGATTATTATAAGAATGTATTGTCAATACTACTACATCCTGCATAATTTTCCATTTATGTAATAATGTTTACCAGAACAGATGCTAAAATTCTACAATAATGATTAAAATTAATAACTAGAGGGGCATTCAGTAGAGTGCATACCTCTGCCATGCAGCATTGTTCATATTTGGCTCTAGAAAAATGCAAAAATGTGTCTGTATGTCCATCAGTATCAACAGACATGGACCATTTTTGGTTTTTGGCAGGATAATGAGGAATAATATTCTACAAATGTCCACCAAGTTTCATCAAAATCTGCTCATTTTTGACTAAGTTATAAAGCCAAAACAGAGTGTAAAATTGGTCCCATGTTAACAGACAGGGATTTTTTTTAGATTTTCGTGACCTTGACCCTTCACAAATTAATCACTTCTAAATTGGGTCATAGTCCAAATTTATACCAACTATTGTCCAAATCCATTCAGCCATTTTCGAGAAATCTTGCTGACAATCTCACATATAGGGGTGAAATCATAACCTCCTTCACTTTCAGTGGCAGAGGTAATAAATAATCTAAATTACGAGTAACAGACAAACTACAAATAGCTTCTGAGACCACTTTGTCCTAAATCATTGGATGGATACCCTTACTTCTACCTGTGTTTTTGGCCTTTGATACATCTGGTGTATGAGAACAAGTGCTTTTCAGCACCTATTTCAAAAATCCATTTGGAGATTTGACCAGTATTTTGATTTGCATATTCAAAATCATTTTAATATAATGTATTCAACCCTCCAAATATTATGAACACTGAAAAAAGCACTTGCATTTTATATAATGTCTTAACATACACAAGTTCAATACTTTGAGGTTATTCATAGTTTAATAAAAGTCCAGTAATGTTTCTATAAGAATTTCCATATTCAAACTTAACCAATTCCAAAACTATACATTGGAAAATAATTTATTTATATTAAAACTCCTGGTAAATTTCTTATTCATTGCTTCTACTGAGACATACTTTTCCTTTCAGTTCATTTTCCTCATCAACTGACTTTTGCAGGGTCATCTTTAATCGATCATTGGAACTCTGAAGAATAGCATTTTGTTCTTCAATACGGTGAAGTTGTTCATTTATTTGAATAATCCTCTGATGCAATACCTATGAAACATAAAACACAATGTTTTTATGTAAGCACACTTTATAAAAAAAACAATACTCCAAATAACCACCAGGTCTAATATAAAATATTTTATAGAAAAAATAACATTTCAGTAATTTGAAAAATTATTTAACTGATGATTAAAGTGCTGTCCCCTACAGTAACAATTAAATTTGTTTTACTAAGTAGAAGATAAATATATATCTATAATGTAAATTATGATTAAAATTATTATATGACCAAATTATTTTTGATACTCAGTCACATCAGTATCAAATATTGAATAAGAATACAATGAACTTGCACAGAGATATCTTCATTTATAGATTTCCTGATTATACAGTAATCTGGGAAAGAATACACACACACAAACAAATATATATATATATATATATTATGTAACTTCCAATAATCATGAAATGTGAATGATATTTTTATTATTGGAAAATTAACTTTGATCAATTAGTAAACTAGCAAAATTCAAGTAATTTTTTTTAGCGAATTGAGGTGAATTCAGAAAATTTATCAGCTAATTCAGGTGATTTGTTATTGCAAGAGATCTTAGATAATACAGGTTCTTTTTTTTTAGTTCATTTGACAAATTTGGTAGTTACACAGTATATTTATTACAAGTGGTTTCCCATTGCAAATGATATTTTAGTTAATTCGTTAGTTAATTAAGATGATTTGATACTTATCACATGTAGTTCATCAGTTAATTGAGATGATTTGATGGTTATGGAAGCTAGACTACTGTAGTATACATAAGCTTTACAGACTGTTTTGTTTGTTCAGAAAGTGTCATGAGTATAAATATTCTTAAGTTTGTAGCAGTTTGTAAAAAAGTGCAGAATAGCAAAATAAATATGAAAATTAAAACAGTGACAACACAAAAGTGGTTAATTACTGAACTTATGTAAAATATAGTCAGTGAAAAGCACTATCTTTTTCATGGTTAATATCAGAAATGAAAAACATAAAAAGATTTGGGAAAAAAAAAGGCAACTCTTTCAAATTTTTTTGCAACAAAACACATTTTAACCCTTCAAGGCCACAATCTCAAACTGGGGTCCCAACTAAGCTATTGCAGGATGGGAGTTTTGAGACATTATAAAAAATATTGCAATAATCAATATTTTACATTATGTACAGTAATATACTATCACTTTGGGTGTGAGGGGATCATTAGAGACAGAAATATTTTCAGAGGGGGGGCAACAAAAAGAGTTTGAGAACTCCAGCCATTATTCTTTAAATCCGAGCAGACGCTACCAGCTTACAGCTGAAAATCCTGATTTACACGTTGAACAGTGATAGCGTCAGATAACATTTATGTCTCTATGGCTGAAACTAATCCAAACCATGTTATTATCCACCTTTTATAAATAGACAGGAAATTCTGTAAGGTATGATGATAATTATTAAGACATCATTGAAATAATTCCACAAAATATTATAGGTTTAAAGAGTTAATGTGCAAAGGACGTATGTATCTCACAAAACAAAATAATACTAAATTTCTTGTTTTTACAATATAGTGCATGAAACATTTAAAAATTTACTGAAAAGATGGATATAAACTGCACAAGTATAACGATAGCATCTGTTTCAGTCTGTCATTAAAACCCAGCATTTTTGACAAAATTAGATTATTGGAGGCTAATGACAGTATGCAGTAGCAGCAACTCACTATGTAATCAGATAACAGTTTTGTGGTGTGCATTTGTTAAACTACTAAACCTTCTGCCAGCTGTCTTCAAATTTTTTTCTTGAGCCATATTTGTCCCAATGTACTAGAATGGTATGACCAAACCAACAGGATTTGTGTAACTGTTGTTATTGGCGATAAATTTGAACAATAAACGGAACAGCACATAAACCACCTCTTTTTAAATAATATATTCAAAACAAGTTAAACATATGTACAAAAATTCCTTACACTATAGATATCACAGTTGTATCTCAAACACTTGTCAAAAGTCCACTTAGGCTGATTCAATTACTTTAGAATTCAATTGAGAAGACAAACTATTTTTCTATGCTCTTATCACAATAGTATCAGGGAATAATTCACTTATGCTACCCCGTGGGTTACCTCTGTTGTATCCTAAACTTCAAAAAATTATCTTCTTTTCATCAAAGTCTACACAGGCAGCTTCAATTACTTTAGAACACTCTTTGACAAGACAAATTATTCTCCTTATCTCTATTAAACTTTGAAACTCACTTTAAAATATCAACCATGAAGGCTACTCACTCACACGGCAGCTAATTTCACATTTTCTAACTTTTCTCTATCTTTACTACACTTGACTTGTGCTCATTTTGTCACCACTATTTATATGTTGATCAATGAAGTCTCTGGAATCTTCTGTAAGTGTGCAAACGGCACTGATTTAACAATACTCAGTTAAGGTAATGGTAAAGATACTGAAGATTTGAGTACTGTGACATCAACAATATTTGTAAAGTCTCAACAACGATGTAATTGCAAACACAATGTACGACTCTTACCAAGTTATGCAACCAAACTTGTCAGAACTATCGCTTTTAAAATAATTACATTTAACTTTCTTGTTATGAAAACTAAACATTCATGACATATTAACTCACAAAATAAATGAAATAATAACACCTACACTAAACAGTCTTGTATATCCAACACTGAAAAGAAGAGCAATGAAGCAGAAATGGGTCTTGATGAGTCAGTGGTTCTATAGCTAATTAAATTACATTTAGGTCTGGACTGCAAATTCTACTTTAAGAACACAACATTTCAACTTGCAAGCTTTACAAAACACAGTTCTACATACAAATATCAATTCTTGAGAGCTAACAGAAAATAATGTCAAAAGCTTTATCTAATGTTAAGGTGATGAAAAGAGAAAACACTAGTCATTCAGCAACAATGAAATCTCTTGCATCAAATGAACAGATAATAAGTCTGTCTGTTTGATGAGAAACTTTTTTATTTCTTCTATACCAACCATTACAGGAAAAATGTAAGTTGCAGGGTCTTCAGATAAGATAGATGTATGTTGTCTAATGGTACATATGTACAATCATGCAATGGGAAGAGTTGATCAGATGGACCAGAAAAATGTATTTACTTTGATCTCATTTAAATTGGCATGAACAATGTCTCCATCATATATTCACAGCAAGTGGATTTCCTCTTCTACACCTGTGATTCAATGGAGTCAGAATTCTGTTTGAAGATACTTCTAACAGTCAAAGAAGACAGTTCACTGCCGTCCTGAGTTTTAGATGCTTAATACAAAACATTTAGTCCTAAACCCTTGAACGTTGTTTGTTCAAAGCTGTTACAAGGAACTTTTGTGTTCAGAGCCATCAATATGTTTACAAGTCTGTGAAGTAGTGATAACTTCTTCCAGTATTTCTTTGTGCATAACTTGTTGAGTTTTATCTGTATTCAACAATACTGCTTATCAATACATTTGGATTATATAAATTTTGCATCCATTAATACATACATTGGGTCATATTTGTTCCAAGATGTATCTACCTATCTAATTACATGGTCATCCAAACTCTCAGTTTCTTCATGCTACTTGAATCACTCTCAAATATCTTTTTAAGAAGAAACAGTTGGAACAATCACTCAGTTCCTGTGTACCTTAGGGATATAACCAAGGGGCCTAAAGCACAACCACCAAAGTAGCCATGAGATTATTCATATTATAATTTTTAATAATGTAAGCATATCTTAATGAAATTTTGCAAACTATCAATAAACATTACAAGGGTTTTGTACAAAAAACAAAAACAGATTTTTAATTAAGTATTTTAACTGAAGATCTGTTCATAATTTAGCTTGTTAAGTTAACAACAAAATTATAAACTCGCCAAACACAAGGCGTTAATTCACCCCTGGTGCCATGACTATTTTTGTGCATCGTAGTATGGTATTTTCTAAAGCAAATAAGCAGATTTTTTGGACATTAGCCCCTACAGCGACATTTCTATTACTATACTATGACTATTTAGTCATAAATTCTTACATTTCAGCTATTTTGTATTAAAACATAGAATGGTAAATAAAAACATATATAGAAAACAATGACCACTAGTACTTACGATGTTACAAACTTTTCTTGCACATATCACTTGTGCATTGTACTTAATAACTCTTCTTGAATCTCACACATGGAGAGGGAAGACAAATTTATTTTTGTAAATTTTACATATGCATTTTGAAACACCAAAAAATTATAAATTACTGTATAGATTCTGCAAAAAAACACTTTAATTTATCTGGCTTTGTAACTATTCAAACTATTACCTTGATCATCACACTTCAAACTCTCCAATGGTATAATGGCTTTGAAACTATTCAAACTATTACCTTGATCATCACACTTCAAACTCTCCAATGGTATAATGGCTTTGTAACTATTCAAACTATTACCTTGATCATCACACTTCAAACTCTCCAATGGTATAATGGCTTTGTAACTATTCAAACTATTACCTTGATCATCACACTTCAAACTCTCCAATGGTATAATGGATTTGTAACTATTCAAACTATTACCTTGATCATCACACTTCAAACTCTCCAATGGTATAATGGCTTTGCCCACATGAATAATTTTGGAAGACTGACAGTAATATGTAGTTCAAAATAAGTGCTTTCAATTGATTATTAATGACATGTACATCAAATAAGTACATGTAGCTTCTAAATCTCAAGTGTAACTACAGAAGGTGGGCATGGCATCTGTCTGGAGTTATTAAAATTTATTTCCTGTGGCAGGGAAGAATTGGCCCTAAAAAATTTGAAATAAGGATGTGTAAAAAGAGCATTTAGCCTAGTTTTGTCTATACATAAAAGTATAGTATATATGAAGGAGTATTCAAGTTACAGACCAAAAGTTAAGATTTGTGAATGCTCGTGCATCACGTGACAACAAAACTGAAATTGAAGAACTTTTTTAAAGGTCTCTTTTGAAATAAATGATTTAAAATTTAGATTCTA